GGTGCAGGTGAGAAGTGGCCACTGGCTTGTTGCCATCACTGCTGGTTTGGGATTTCCCAGATGGAAGAGGCATGTCCTTGAGCTTTGGGACAGCCTTAGTGGGTGACTCTGCACATGAGCACTCTGTGAGGTTTGTTGCCAGAATGTGGGAAGAGCAGGAATGGCTGAGCACATCTAGGGGGAGAGATGGGTTTGAGGGCTTGGTGGTGTGTCAGTAAATCAGCTCAGACTGGAGCATCCCTCAAAAACTTGGGCAAAATGTAGGGGAAGTCTGATTTTCCTGGGTGTGCATTGGAAGAGCACTGGAGGGTTTCCCTCATGGAGGTGCCTCTGTAAGCAAGGCAGAGTAGGTGACCAGAGATGCTCAATAACAAGAACAGCTACACACTGGAGGCACATCTAAAGCTGTTCCTCTTTGCCCTGTGTTAGAGACAGGGAATAAGTAATTTTTATTAACCAGCACAGGTTCTGCTGCAGGAACAGTTAAAGCACACAGTCTTGATATTTATTTTTTTTTTTGCTGCTCATCGGTTCTGGGGCTCTGTAAGACTACACATCTAACAATATACAACAAAGTGCTTTGAGGGGGGTTCATGAAATACAGATTATGGTGGTTTTGCATGGCGTGACAAGGAAATACATTTTGTTGTGCTTGTGTTTATGCCTGAAACATCCCTGCAAATACATATTATTTTGGCACTTAATTTTAAAGAGCTGCTACAACACATAGATGCCTGTTGCTGTTCCAGGAGAGGAGCAGGATGTGAGTAGGAAATGTTCCTGCTCTGTGTTTTGCTCAGGGATAGAGGGACTGGGATTCTTGTATGACTCCTGCTAGGTCCCACTTCACACACAGTTACTTCAGTGCTTTTTAACTACTTGGCAAATCAGACCCAGAACAATAATTTCTGCCCTGCAATGGCTGGGAATTGCTTCATGGCTCAAAATGGGGCATAAAGCTTTTAAAGTAGGAGTTCACAGCCTGCTTTCTGGCCAGTGTTCCTCCCAGGTTTGGCTCCCTGCTCTCAGTGGGCCAATATCGGAATCTGTGGTATTGATGATTCTGAGATTGTAAAAAGTCTCTGTCTTTCTGCCCCGCTGCCAAAGAAGAAGTCATAATTTATCTGTGCTGGTTTCAAGGTTATTTATTCTGTTTATCTCTAACATGTTCTGCTGCCCTGCCGCAGGTCTGTCCTGCAGGGCAGCGTGTGGGGCTCTGCCCTCAGTGGGATGTTACAAATATTAAATACCAGAAACTACCTGTGCTGTATTTACAATAATGTGCCAATATCTGTCACCTACGTTGAACAGTGTGTCCCCAGCCTAAACCAACAGAAAAATGCCAACACCACAGTGAAACATGGAGGGCATGAAGAAGAAGAAAAAGGACAAGGCACACCCAATTTCCTCCATCTTGTCCCCTTTGGACCCCTAATCTAGAATCCTAAAATTTGACTTTTGCACCCATGCCACACTAATTATTACTTATATCAAACACTCAGAGCTTGTAATTCATCCTGTAAGATGGAAAACTCTTTTCCATGCACAGAGATCACAGCCAGTGTCTCTGGGGGCTCTGTCCAGGGGGGTTCCTGACCCCTGCCAGGGTCCCAGGCCTTCCAGGGCAGCCAGAGGGAAGCCCTGGATTCCCACAGGCCAACAGGAGCACTTTTGTTATTGTCCATGGCAGCAGCATTTCTCTCTCATGGCAGGAATGCCTTTTTACCCCTTTAGCTGTTATTTGCCTTGAAAAACCTGCCAAGAGCATATTTTATCTCTCTGTTTTTAAAGATTCTCTGCAAAGGATGGGAGGTACTGTCCCAGCCCTTCCTCCTGCAAGTGAAGGACCTAACCTTCTTTTCTTAAACACTGGCATAGTTTCCTCTTTTGTATTTTGAATGTGACATAATGCTTAGGTGCATCAAAAGCAGACATTGCAAAGCTGAGACAGAGAGATTAATGACTTATTGTAACAATGGATTATTAATGATCCATGATTATACCCACATTTGTTTTGTGACTTCAGCTTGTTGTGCAGGTCAGAGCTCTCTCCTGCTCTGAGTTCTGTTTCTGCATCAGCTTGCACTGCTGGTTGGGTACCAGTGGAAAAAAATATGTGCACTTCTGTGCCCCTCAATTGATGTAGGATAATCACTTTTGGTGTGTGACTTGATTTGAGGTAATCTGTGGCTAATTTTTTGTGGAAGGAAACTTCTCTTTTTAAGAATGGACATTAAGTTTTTGGAATTGCTATGAGATAAATTTAAAGGATCAGAATGACTTATTCTAAATTAGCTTTAAAGGTTTGTTGTTTTTTTGTTTTTGTTTTTATTTGATTTTTTTAATCCAAAAGAATTGATTACTAGCCATATCAAAAACTGGCAGAAGTTACTGCTGTGGTTTGGCTGTACAAAATTAATCTCAGTCAAATAAAACTCATAGCCCTGGTTCACATCTGGGCTGGCTTCACCCCTGCAATCCTTTGCAAGAATAGGCTCCAGGTGTTTCTGCCTCCTCACAGCAAACAAATGGCTGCATTAGCTTTCAGGAAACGTTTAATGGGTGTGCAACACGGAATATCAGTGTTGCAGTGTATAGCTTTATTAGCTGAGCTGCAGGAATTGTTTTCTGAGCTGTGTTGGTCCTTAGCACAGATTGCAGAATGGAAAGGAAGGTATTTATTAGTCCTTGGGAGCCTTAAGACAGAATAATACTTACCTGGCTGGAAATATGATCACTCTCGTAATGGATGCTGCTGTATTTAAGGAAGGAACACACCAAACCATTTTGTAACTGTTAATCAAGAATTTTTAGGTTCCCTGGCAGGCACAGGGATGTGTCTCCCTGAAGAGTTGGCACAAAAGGGTTTTCTGAATAAAACTGTGCACATGAGCTAGGACAGGGCTTTGTATTCCAACAAGAAAGGTGTGCCATCTCCTAGTTGCAATGCTTAATCCTTCCAGTGTTCCCAGTCCACCAGAGCTAAGTGAGGTCTCAATATGACCATGCCTTTTCATCTCCCAAAATAGCTGTTAAAAATATTATGAATAAAATCGTGTTTAGGTATGATTTACGCTAAGTGCTAAGGTTTTACAGAAAACCTAAAAGTTGGAATGTTCATGCTTTTAAGTTAAGGTTTTACAGAAAATCTAAAAGTTGGAATGTTCACGCTTTTAAGTTAAGCCTCAAAATGAGGTGGCAATTTCTCTTTTAAAACCTGAGCAAACCGAGTAATTCTGTTTTTCTTCAGAATGATGAAGAAATGCATAATGAACGTAGGTCAAATATTTCAAATTTTTAACTGTAGTAAGAATTTTGAGATTTTACTTTTACCAGATCATAGAAAGAAATAATATTCCAGCATTTCCTATGGTGGGTAGACCCAATGCCTATTTGGAGAGCAGCCCTTGCAGTGCCTGTTCAGCTTTGGTCCATCCTCTTTAACCCCTGGAAACACAACCCAAAAATGATCTGATCAGCCCTTTACACTGAATGGTTTGTGATGAAACCAGCCCGTGGGAGTCAGCAGGAACTTCTACTGCCATTTTTGGGGCAGAGGAATTTTCCCTGAAGGAAAACTTGGAGCAGGTCATGGGCTTCTGACTGCCTCCTGAAGCCCTTTGCCAAGAGGCTGCTGGAAGCTTGAATTCACCCAGCACAAGAGCAAATAATTCTGCAGCAGAGAGACCATGGAGGGAGCAGAGATTGGAATTGTTCCCATTTCTAGTGAGAAAAAAAAAAAAAAAAAAAAGAGGGGGAAGGGGGTATAGTAAATAAACAGTCAATAATTGTAGTACTCTGAAATCTAATTACTTTTGGTATTTATAAAATAGACCTGCATCATTCAAAAGAGTATGTTTTAGCCAATTTTACTGATTATGCCTCCGGTCCTGGAGAGTTTTGTTTGTATTGATCTGATCCAGAAGTGGGATTGGCTGCAGAAATGACATTCTTGTCAGGCTCCTGTTTTGCATAATATAATGCCCATTTCAAAAGTTTAGATTAATTTTCTGACAGATAAGAACAACCCACAAGCTGTTGATTAAGAGGAAATATAAGTGCATTGAAACAGACAAACCAAAACCAGCCCAGCCCCACACTTGACCATTTCAGCAGCATCGCTGTCCGAGCAGGCTGAGCAATGTGTGAAAAGCTGATCGTGTAAAATGCTGCTTCTGTATTTGTTTCACTCATTTTTTTTTTAGTCATTGCATGATGACAGCAGGCTGATGCCCTGAGCTGAGCTGGGAATCTGGGTGGCTTTCAAATGGGCTTCAAAATGTAGAACAGAGTGGTGTAATATTAAAGGGTGTCCTTTGAAAACTGTATTAAGATGGTGTTTCCTGACATATCTTTGCTGTGCATTCAGCCTGGGGACTTGTGGAAAGTCAATGTGCTTTTTGCTACTGTTTTTCTCCTATTTAATTGCTTAAAGCTGGGAAGAGCTGGGGTCTTAAGGAAAGTGATAGGGAAAGCAATGTTGGGTGTAAGTGTTCTGCTCGGGTTGCTTTTGGCTTGCCCAAAATACTGTTCAGAATAGGGAATATGTTGAATTATCCAGGTCAGCTTGGATGCACAGGTCTCTCCAGCCTTTTGTCCTTCAGCCCAGGGTGGGAGTGGCTCTGCCCAGTGTCTGATTCTGTCACTGGTGGAACTGGTGGAGGTTTGCTGAGGCCTGGCTTTGACCCTTTGGCTGCTGGGGTCAACCTGCTTGGCCTTTTTCCTGCATTTCTGCCTTTTCAGCTTTTCTGCATTTGGTGGTAAATACCAGCACTTCAGCCCATTTGGTGAGAGGTGTTTAAATTGCTGAGATGATCACAGGCTGTATTTCTATGTTCCTGTCTCTACTGCTGGTATTCAAGTGTGACTTGTGTGACCCAGCCTTTGAATCATTACAGATTTTTGTTGCAACTCCCTGTATCACTGTGTACAGACTTTATTGTGCTCCAGTGCCCCTCTTCCACAGTGGGCTGATGGATTGTGCTGTGGTTTTTTTGCAGTGTGTGCTGGCACTGAGAACAAGCTGAGCTCCCTGTCTGACCTGGAGCAGCAGTACCGGGCCCTGCGCAAGTATTATGAGAACTGTGAGGTGGTGATGGGCAACCTGGAGATCACCAGCATCGAGCACAACAGAGACCTCTCCTTCCTGAGGGTAAGCAGGCTGCTGTTCTCCTTCCCTCCTCCTTCCTCCCTCCTTCCCTCTGCTTCTCTTTTGGGGGAGCAGCGATAGGTGCTGGGCTGGAAAAGACCAGGCTTCTGTCCCACCAGCTCTGCTCTGATGGAAGAGGATGATAAAATGCCAGGGATGTGCAGAGAACAAGAGCAGTGTCATTGCTGTGACAGGTGCTCTGAGTGTGAGTCATTTCGATTTATCCAGGACGTGGGGGACAAAGCTGTGCCACTGGAAGGTGACACCTTGCAGGTCTCTCACTTTGTGTTGCTCCAAGGCAGGTTAGGTGGGGTTTAGGAAGGTCAGAGAATCATGCAGATAAGCATTGGAGGACTGGCAAAGCTAATCCTAATAGGTACTGATTTATAGACTAAGCAAGGGAAGAACTCTGGGCAATGTTTGTGGAGCATTTAAGAGAAAGAAAAAAAGTGATTGCTGAATCAACATGAAACCTCCTCTGGGTATGAGACTGGAGCTATGAGCCTAACAATCTCCAGCATCCAGGGGAAGTCTGTGACAGATGAAGGCTGTGCTGCTGTTGGGGAGCCTGGGTTGTGCATTCCCTTAGTCCTCTTTGCATCCAGTTTTGGATTTGTGAAGGAAAATTCCAGTGTGGTTTGCAGATACCCTGTTGCCATGCTGGAGAGAGAAAGGTGAACGCCAAGTTCAAAGAACTTAAGCCTGTTGTTATTTGGTATTTCACATTCTTTATGTTTAAAGAAATATCCCCCTAAAGGAGTGATCCAGGTGGGCATCTGAGGATGCTGCAGGTGATGTGGCTTAAACATGGAAAGTAGGTCTGAGGGCTAGGGCAGAAAAAGCAGCCTGTGCCAGTGTGGTTGCAGTCTGTGCTGCGATTGTACTCTCCATGACACAGATAAGGTTTACACTGCTCATACTCTTGCCTGTACCTCTTAATAATGCTGCTGTCATGTTGCAGGATGCATGTCTGTGTGTCAGTGGCACATTCACATGGCAGGAGTGGTGGAGTTTAAATGTGGCAGCAGGAAGAGGCGGTGGGAGGCAGCCCCAGCTGGTTGGGTTACCCTCACTCATTCCCTGTGCTGGGTCTCGGCTGAGCTGAGTGCTCAGTTCCAGTCTGGAAAACTGTGAACTTTCCACCACGGTTTCTAGCAAAGGCAAAGCCAAGCAGCGTGTTTAGCTCTGCTTCACATCGAATTTGTTGGGGGTTTCACAGCCTTGCCACTCCATACATTGGTGTCTATTTACTCAGCATGTACACCAGATCTGTGAGCAAAATTCAGCTCCCAGACACGTCTGGTGTAAGGTTTGGGGTGCTAATTGCACTCAGACTAACAGATTGCCTGTTAATTTGAGTGACGAATGCCTCGGAAGTGAATGCTATCCCTACATTTCACAGTTGTGACAGGTGGGGAAAACACATATGCCTTTGCTCTGAAATAGATACAGCCCTGCTGCAGCTGGAGCAGCATTGGACAGGTGGCAGATCCTCCTCCAGTGAGGGCAGGATCCCTGCTCTGACTGGGGCATCTCTGCAGTTTCAGATGCCTGCTGAAAGCCCCTGGGTGGAATTCATGGCAGGCAATCCTTCCGCTCCGGCTTTCCTTCCTCCTTCCTCCTGCTGGGTGGCTTCGTGTGGTGGAAAAACTTCTCCTCCAACCCGTGCTTCCAAAGAAAGGCTCAGCAGTCTCTTGTTGTTCGGTCTCAAGGCAGTTTATTGCAAGTTATCTAAAAGTTTTATTCTTGAGCTGCTGTGGTTTGCTCAGCAGCTCAGGCAGAGGCACACACACACCCTGACAACCTCTCCGTCCCTTGGCTTCTTCTCTCCCCCCACCCAGGGCTGCTGCTGTCTTTTATGTGGTACATTACGTGTTAAATGCTTACAGTTTTTCCCCAATGCCTATTACCTATATTAAATGGTGCTTTTCTACTCTAAGCCAATCTGTGAGTGCCAACATCACCAAGAACTTGGAGGTAAGGAAGAAGAAAGAGGGAGGACAGGACAGGCCCAAATCCCTCCATCTTAAAACTTCTGACCCCCATGTACAAAACAGAAACCCCCCTGTACAAGCATTAAAACCCCCCTGGACAGCACTAAATAATTCTTGCCTTTACTTTGTGACTACTTCTACTCTAATATCTAAACTTTTGTGATTTCTTGTTCTTCCTGCAAGGTTGGTAAATCATTCCGTGGTTCACCCAAAATCACAGCTGTTTCCAGCTGCCTGCCAGGGTCTCAAATGCTTCTGACCTGGGCTCGGAACCTCCAAAAATGTCTGAGGGACATTTTGAGTTCCCACAGTGGGGAAATCAAATTACTTGGGAATTAGGAATTAGTGTTCCTCACTGAGCGCTGCCATCAGCAGCTTAAAATATTGGTGGAAAGCAGGCAGTAAAATCATCAAATGAGAACAAGAAGGAAAGGTCCTGTTTGGTAAATGAAGGGGTTTGGTCACCTGTGCTTTTTGGTGACAGCTACTATTGTTTTTTTATTAGTTTTATTACTTCACTTACCTGCATCTGCTCCCTCACAGATGTCTCAGCAAAAAAGCAGAACTTGAAACAAAACTCAGCAAACTGAAAGGCCTAGTTAGTATGATGAATTGTAGTCATTAAAGTAGAAAACCAAACAGAAGAGAACATGTTCTCGGTGAGGCAAATAAATAAATAAATGTTGGCACATTTACGCCGATAATTCGACATTCATTAGTCAGGCAGTATTACTCCTTTTATTATATTAAAAATGGTTTTAATGGCCAAATGAAGGTGGCAGATGGGACATAACTAAGAGAAAGGCTGTTTGTCTCTCTCAGACTTAAACACGGTGAACTCTCCATGCAGCATCGCGCTCCTTCAGCCTGCTGTGATGTTTCAGTCTCTGTTGCAGTAATTCCCCTCTTCCTCCACCAAAGCCACTTCAGGATGGGATGCTGGTGCAGCCCTGGGTTATTTGTGTCCCCAGCTGATGACAACCATGGCTCTGTGTGCCTACCTGCCCTCTCTGCAGTGCTCAGCTTAGCTGGGCCACTTCTTGCTCCAGGACAGAGGGAAGAGCTGGTAAGCTCTAGGAATGCTGAGCCTTTTCATCATGCAGTAATGAACAAATAGCATAAATGAATTGAAGTGAAAAAAGCCCATAATTTTATTTACCCAGCGGAGGAACATTAAAAGATCAGCATCCCATCTCTCATATTTATTTAGACATTTATTCCCTAAGTAGATTTGCTTTATGTCTATGAGTTAGCTCTCTGGATATCTGCTGATGAAGACTAAAAGGGGCTGTCTGTCACCTGAATGAAGTGCTCAGCCACTTCAGCTTCCAGGCCTGCAGTCCATGAGGAGCTGGATTTCTGTAAGAAGGGATTGCAGGTGCCAGTTGTTCCTTTTCCTGCTGTTCCTGTATGTGAGCAGAGCAGGAGGACATATCACCTGTGTTACTTTAATATATTTTATTTTGGTTCCTGGTTGTGTTATAGTCTGGGTATTGCTTTCCTGTGAGCAACTGCAATATGAACTTGTGTTCTGCATGTGCTGCCCTCCAGCTCTGCCAGCTCTGTCCTGCTTCTTGGAGCTTCTCTGTGCTGTGGCCACAAGGGAGTCGTGGCAGAGGAAAGGAGAACTCAGTAGCAGGAAAAATTGTGTCTAAGCCTGGGTGTTGTTGGTAAGGACAGATATTTGTGACATCTGTGTGACAGCTGGTTGCTTTGTCCTTCTTCTGAGGCTCAGCCTACTCACAGAAAACGCACAAGGGGTCATTCAGCTTTTGAAGTCCTACCTCTGCCAGCTCTGGCAGTGGAAGGAGGCTGAGGTTAATGCAGCTCATGGCTGCTGCAGTCCCACCTCCCTGTGACAGCCAAGGCAGGCTGTACACTGGCACAGGTGCTGCCAAGAACGAGACTGAGCAGGGCAAATCAGTGGGTGGAAAGCAGTCCCTGAGAGCTGCCTTGTGCCTGTGGGGCGTCCAGGCTCACCCAGGGAGTCAGCAGTGACAGTGTCAGGGTCAGGCTCCATCTCCCACTGCTTCCCAAGCCACCAGCATGCCTCCCCTAATTGCACAGCCAGGCTTTTGCACTGGGATTTGCTCCATGAAACCAGATAACTGCTGGAGCTGGTGTGTGTCTTGAGTCCCGTCCAGGCGAGAGCTGAGATTTACTTCCCTGCTTTGGACTTCAGAGAAAAAGACCTTGAGAAAAGCTCAGGTTGTTCACTGGTTCATACTGCAAACAACTGTTTGAAGAACAGAATGGGGAACCTATTTTAGTTTTGCTTGGCAGAGCTGACAGTTCCTATTGTGGGCTGTTCTTATTTGTTAATAACATCTCCATATTAAAATTTCAAAATAATATACACAATCGGTGTATCACATAACAATCTTCTGCAAGTACTTCTGTTAAACACATTTGGTAAATGAGAGTAATCTTTGAGTAATCCCCTGGCTTTTAGCAATTCACAGTCAGTAAATTGTCTTCTCTTGCCCGGATTTTATTTAACCAATTCAGACTATTTCTTTTTAAAGACATGATCAAAGTTCTGTGCTGTTCCCTGTCATAGCTATCCCAAGTGATTATGAAACTCATTTTTAACCACGATCAACAGTCTTCAAAAATTATCTACCTCTGCTTTGTGTGTTCTTTTTTCATTCACCTCAGCAGTGCTTGTGTAGCCCCTCCAGCCACACTTGCAGGGCAGCTAGCTGACATTGAACAGGGTGGATGTTTCATGGTGAATGTCACATTTATTGCAGAGTTTAGGGCCCCATTTGCCCTGTGTCAGCACTCATGGACCCGTGCTTGGTGAGAACCCCTGCCAGCCCCACCTCAGCCCATTCCTTGCAGTCACATCTGGATTCCTGTGGCAGGTGGGGTTTGGCCATTTGGACTTTATGTTCTTTGTCATTGGTTGTGTCTGATGTTTGGAGAAAGTTTTGGTGAAGGAGACCCCTCTGCAGGGCAAAGACTGTCAGAGAGCCAGGAGAGCCAGAGATCCAGGAGAAGAGTTGT